TTTCTTCTAGATGGAAAAAATGGGACCTGCTGAGCCAGGCACGGGAGAGAATCTCTTGGTCTGCCAGTTTCTAAGACCATTGGAAAAGCGCAGTACTGGGCAAGAGTGTCCTGTTTTTCCAGGTACAGTCTGTCGTGGCTTCCCTTGGCTAGGAAAGGGAAATTCTCTGACCCTTTACACTTCCGGGGTGAGGCAACGTCCCACCCTGCTTCAGCTCGTCCTCCATGGGCTGCACCCACTGTCCAACCAGTCCCAGTGAGATGAACCAGATACCTCAGTTGGAAATGCAGAAATCTCCCGTCTTCTGTGTCGATCACGCTGGGAGCTGCAGACCGGAGCTGTTCCTATTTGGCCTTCTTGGAACGGATCCTTACAAATTTTAATTTTAAATATTGATTTGAAAAGCTAAAGAGATCAAAAGATGGTGATTTTCAGGTTTTCTTTAGAAAAATGTGAATTAATAATATGGGAAATTCTTGTTATAATAAGACAGTCTTCAGCTAAATTTTTTAAATTAAAAAACTGGTGAAGATTATCAGGTTCCGAAAAATGTACTGAAACTATTTATCTGTGATACCTAGAAAATACGATGTGTTTTAAGGTAAGGTACAAATAGTATTTAAATATAAGCACGACCAATAAAACTTAGAACAGTATTTATCATTCTTGTTGACCATAGCTCGTGGTGAGAAATATATTTTACATACATGTTTGTAATTTCATATATATATAGTTACATATGTTTATAGTTGTATACGTGAATAATTATATATGAATAAATATGTATATGTACATACTTTTTTTCAAACAAGTTCTTGGAAAGATACTTATTCTTACACAGTATGACATAGCTTGTGATAATACTGTTTCTTGTTAATGTTGGTCAAAAAAACTAAATTGATGAGCTGTCTTACCGTGTGGAATAAATAGTAACTTAGAAGATTACATTGAAAAAAGATAATTATGGGCCTGGCATGGTGGCTCATTCATGCCTGTAATCCCAGCACTTTGGGAGGCCAAAGTCGGAGTTTGAGACCAGTTTGACCAACATGGTGCAAACCCATGTCTACTAAAAATAACAAAAATTAGCTGAACATAATGGTGCATGCCCGTAGTCCCAGCTACTCAGGAGGCTGAGGCGGGAAAATTGTTTGAATCCAGGAAGTGGAGGTTACAGTGAGCCGAGATAGCGCCATTGGACTCCAGCCTGGGCAAGGATGAAATTCCATTTAAAAAAAAAAAAAAAGAAAAAAGATAATTATGAAATAATTTTTGACAGATTTGACCTGGTTTGAATTATAACCCTAGTAATATTATATGTGTTATGTATAGATTCACAATGGATTATACTTTGAGAAATTTATAGATTCACTATGTCTAGAGAAAACATAGAAGTAAAGTTGATCGTTGGTGAAATGTTTGATATGTGTCGTCAAAATTGCTAAGATGGATGCTAGTTGGATCTATGATGCTGTAGGCTAGTTTTGAGGCTTGAATTCCTCCATTTAATAATATTAGACTGGCTTGACTGAACTAGAATTACAGGAAACTTCTAAGCCATATCCACATATTCAGGAGGCGGAAGAATCATCAGTGGACCAAATTTATAACCTGAGAAATAAATCTCATACTGTAATAGTTTTTATATTGGAACTTTTGTGGAATTATCTCTCAATAGCACACCTAAAAAATGAGATTTATTGGCTGGGCATAGTAGCTCACACCTGTAATCTCTGCACTTTGGGAGGCCAAGGTGGGATTTTTAATCATAAGTAAGGATGAGTTGTTCTTTTTTGTTTCATCAGCCTAGTGTTCACCACAAGGATGAGTTTTTGTGTGAAGGCCATTTTATAGTCACACAATGAAAGTTACCTTTCCTCTGATTCTTTCTGAATAACAATCTTGTTATGATGTGACACCTCTATAAAACATTTTAGAATTTGAAATGTACCTCACTTGTACTTTCCCAGATCTTTGAGTCGTCTGTGCAAATAGAGTAAATTTTTCTGTGAATGCAGAAGGAATATATTAACATAGTCTGTAGGTTAAATAACTTCAACAAATGCCACAGTAAAAAAGGACATTGAGAGAAGTTGAGCTTTTTTCTGCTGAAGGAGTCTGTTAATCTAATCTTCATGTGTCAAATCATTTATTTACTTTCACATGAAGTATGTATAGTGTTAGAAGTAAGTACAGTGTTAGAAGCCTAATTTTAGCAGAAGAGAAAAATACCCTTTAGATATCAATAAAATAATTATCTAAATTAAAAATAGAATAATTTATTGTTAACTATTAATGATCCTGATATTCTGTTAAGTGTTCCTATTCTAACTTTGGAATATAGTGTGTTTTAGTTTAGTTCTGGTGAATAATCTTTTATAACCAATTTATATGATGTTAAACTTTTCAAATTTATTAATATTGATAAGTTTTACATTTATTATAGCATAGATATGTTTTGAAAAACAGTCATGTATTAATAGTATTTTAAGAATTCAATATATATGAGTTCAAGTATAACATTTGCTTGTCTGAATTAGAGAAAAATGAAACAGCAGTGGCTAAATAAAGTATTAGATGAAATTTTATAAACATAATTATTACAAACTGATAACTGATTCATGTAATACTGACATCATCACTCCTTAAAGGAATATTCATTGCTTTATATCATATTTGAAGAAGCAGTAGTCCCCTTATCCCTGTTTTTACTTTCTGTAGTCAACCATTATCTGAAAATATTAAATGGAAAATTCCAGAATAAACAATTCGTAAGTTTTAAATTGTGCCTTGTTCTGGGTAGCATGGGGAAGTCTTGCCACATCCCATTCATCCCACCCAAGATGTGGATCATCCCTTTGAACATACAGTAGATCCACACCATATACTCTGTCCATCTCGTATTCACTTTGTCTACCTTATCAGATCAAAAAAACATAGTGTACATGGGGTTCAATACTATTTATGATTTCAGGCATCCACTGGGGTTCTTGGAACATATCCCCTGTGGATTAAGGAAGATTACTGTATTCATAAACATCCATTTCGTTACACCAGTAGGCTACAGTAAAATATTTTAGAGGACACATCAGAATGCTTCATTTCAGGATCAAGGAAAGCTAATTGCAATTTAGAAGTATTTAATTTGAAAGTTATTGCAAATGACTTGATACTAATAATCTTTTCTTCCAATTAAAAATAAATTTTTTTAGAGACGTTCTCAGTATGTTGCCCACAGTGGAGTGTGGTGGCAATTAATGGGTGTGCCAGTAGTGCCCTATATCCTCAAACTCCTGGGCTCAAGCAATCCTCCTGCCTTAGCCTCCCTTGCAGCTGGGACTACAGGCATGCACAACTGCACCTGTCTTATTGATATTAATAATCTTAATAGAGTTAGTACCCCTGCCTTCTAATAGTTTTCACCAATTGCAATATTGTTTTACCATAGAATTTTCTTTTTTTTTTTTAACTTTAGCTTTGCTTTTCGGAAATTGTCCTTAGCTGGGTGCAGTGGCTCATGCCTGTAATACCAGCACTTTGGGAGGCCAAGGCAGGTGGATCACCTGAGGTCAGGAGTTTGAGACCAACTTGGGCATGGTGATGTTCACCTATAGTCCCAGCTACTTGGGAGGCTGATTCTCCTCAGGCAGGAGAATCACTTGAGCCTGGGAAGTGGAGGTTGCAGTGAGCCGAGATCACACCACTGCACTCCAGCCGGGGCAACAGAACAAGACTTTTTCTCAAAAATAAACAAACAAACAAACAAACAGAAAACATCATCCTTATGATAAAGGCAAAATAATCAAACTCTGATAAAGAACACTTGGTTAGGATTTTTACTTTTCAAAGTGTTGTGGCCCATGTGGATCTAAACCTGTTTCTGGGCCTGTCTATCCTATGCTTTTCAACAGCAATAAATCCATTATCTTGGATTCCTTTAACATAGAAGTGTGAATAATTAAGATTTGGGAGATACATAGTTGGTTTTGGCACTGTTAAGGGGGAAAGAGGATTACTAAGTGGATTAGTTGATCTTTAATTTCTCACTAGGTCAACCCTGAAGACATATTCTGTTATTTTCCTTCCTCCTACCAAAAAATATCTGTGCTAGAGATTACTGCTGGAGATGGGCAGTCATATGTTATAGAAAATCTCCACGGCCGGGCGCGGTGGCTCAAGCCTGTAATCCCAGCACTTTGGGAGGCCGAGACGGGCGGATCACGAGGTCAGGAGATCAAGATCATCCTGGCTAACCCGGTGAAACCCTGTCTCTACTAAAAAATACCAAAAACTAGCCGGGCGAGGTGGCGGGCACCTGTAGTCCCAGCTACTCAGGAGGCTGAGGCAGGAGAATGGCGTGAACCCAGGAGGTGGAGCTTGCAGTGAGCTGAGATCCGAGATCCGGCCACTGCACTCCAGCCTGGGCGACAGAGCGAGACTCCGTCTCAAAAAAAAAAAAAAAAAAAGAAAATCTCCACATGGGTCAGTGTTGGCATAGCTGTCATAGTACTAGCCCCAGAGGAACGTTCTTGAGGGAGTGTTCTTACCTGTTTATCTCCTCCTGCCACTTACCTTGCTCATCCACTTCAAGACATTTCTACCAGTAAATTGTTTTACTTGAAAATGAATAGGGCTTAATAAAAAAAATTATTTAAACTATTTTAAGGAAGCCTTTCATAGAAGAGGATTTACTGAGGTTTATACTTCTGAAGAGCAACAGAAACTGCACTTAGAACTTTAATTCACTTAAGTGAAAATGTATATATGTAGTTCAGTGTCTTCTGCATTGTAAGCACTCAGATGTGTGAGGAATGATTGACATTTGAAATGGTCATTATGTCTCTTAGATATTTTAAATTAATCTCTGTATCTGTTTTTGCCAATGATGCATTTTCCCTAGGAATAAAAGACATACACATGAATACAGTTAACAGAAATATTGTTAGCTAAATAAAATTATGTCTAAGATCATAATATATCAGGACATTGTTTTTATACAGGTAAATGGTTGCAGTTTTGTGATGAAAACAGGAAAACCTACAAATTTATTAAGGGTACGGTATTTAAAACTACTCATGATACTAATGTTGTATACTATTTAAAATCATCTGGCTTACTAACAAAACTTTTTCCTGCATGTACTTCTTTCTGTGTGTGATTTCAAATTAATTTTAATGTTTACTAAAACAAAGTTATCTACCATTTATTATAAAACTCAATTGTAGACCAGGCATGGTGGCTCACATCTTTAATCCCAGCACTTTGGGAGGCTGAAGCAGGTGGATCACTGAGATCAGGAGTTCGAGACCAGCCTGACCAACAAAGTGAAACCCCATCTCTACTATAAGTACAAAAATTAGCCAGACGTGGTGGCAGCCACCTGTAGTCCCAAGCTATTCGGGAGGGTGAGACGAGAGAATTGCTTGAACCTGGGAAGCAGAAGTTGCAGTGAGCTGAGATTGCGCCACTGCACTCCAACCTGGGTGACGGAGCAAGACCCTGTCAAAAAAAGAAAACTCAATTGTAACAGAATTTGCGGATAGCCTGTTTATATTCTTGAGGTAAATGCCATGTTAACAAAGTAGGTTGCCATACTGTAATCTTCCAGGTGGTGAGTGATGTTTTAAAGTGGACCTTGCTGTGGATTTCAGTATTTTAATCTCTCTCCCTAAGGAATATTGCTAGTACTGAATTCTTTAAAATCTTGGATTAATTTAGGAAGAAGAATTTGGTGTTGATGATTCTTATTCTGAACAAGGAGCACAGTACAGTCTGACTCACCTAGAGATGATGGAAAGTGAGTTGGCTGGGAAGCAGCATGAGATTGAAGAGCTAAACAGAGAGCTGGAAGAAATGAGGGTTACCTATGGGACTGAAGGACTGCAGCAGGTATGTTTATTTTCTATGGCTTTTGATTTGCTACTCACAAAAACAGAAACAGGAACTGTGAATAATAGTGGTCTTTAAAGATGTTTTTTTCTTTTTTTTTTTTTTAACTTTTTGCTTTTTTTTTTTTTTCATACAGGGTCTTGCTGTCTCCCAGGCTGGAGTGTAGTGGTGCAGTCTCGGCCCACTGCATCCTCTGCCTTCTGGGCTCAAGTGATCCTCCCACCTCAGCCTTCTGAGTAACTGGGACTATAGGCATGCATTAACACACCCAGCTAATTTTTTGTAGAGACGGGGTGTCACCTCAAATTCCTGGACTCCCCTTGGCCTCCCAAAGTGCTAGGATTACAGGCGTGAGCTACCGTGCCTGGCCTAAAGAAGGGGGTTTTCAAATGGTAACTTAGTGGGACACAGTGGCATGCCCCTGTAGTTCTAGTTACTCAGGAGGCTGAGGTGGGAGGATCGCTTGACCCATGAGTTCAGGTCCAACCTGGGCAACATTGAGAGTCCCTGTCTCTTAAAAAATCAAACAGAAAACTAAATGGTAACGATATCACTTACAATTTTTGTTCTTATACACAGCATAAATAACCCTGCTTAAAAGTAGGATTTCATTAACAGGGTTGATATAACACAGACTCTTTTTTAACTTTATGATAAATCACTTTAGTAAGACAGATGTTTTTGTAATCAGCCTGAGAGAAAATTATGGTGCAAACCACATCAAAATATAACTTAAGTCCGTTAAGAATGTCAGCAAGTTGGGCATGGTGGCTCATGCCTGTAATCCTAGTACTTCATGAGGCTGAGGCAAGAGGATAACTTGAGTCTAGTAGTTTGAGACTGGCCTGGTGAAAATAGCAAGACCCCGCTTCTACAAAAAATTTAAAAATTAGCCAGGCATAGTGGTGTATGCCTGTAGTCCTAGTTACTTGGGAGGCTGAAATGGGAAGATCAGTTCAGCCCAGGAGATTGAGGCAGTAGTGAGCCAAAATCACACCACTGCACTCTAACCTGTGCAACAGAGCGAGACCCTGTCTCAAAAAAGAACAGAAAAACAATGTCAGTGGGTCCTTGTAAGTAACCTCTTGTGGTTAGACTAACATCTGTGGTTAGACTGCCATAACTATCTATGGCAGTCAGTTATGAAAACAAGGTGAAATAGGATGTTGATGAGGATGACAAAATACATTTCAGTCTCATCCTCTTCAGAAACAAGTTGGAATTAAACATGTCTAGGGTGGTGTTGCCTGGGAACAGATTAGGGGCACCCCTAAATATAAAGGCACTTGTCCTTCTATAAGTAAATATATGGATTAGTCAGATCAAATATAATTTTTTCCTTAGTTCAGATAAATTTTTTGAAGTTGATTTGGAAGCACCAATTTCTATAATAGTTCTCAAATGTGGAAAAGACTGCTTACAAAATGTAAGAATTCTGCCAATGTGTTTTGAATTCTTATTTTGAAAAAGTTGCCTGTAATAATAGTCAATTTTTTAAAAAAAATAAATCTAGCACTTACTATTTTCTTTTAGTTACAAGAATTTGAAGCTGCCATTAAACAAAGAGATGGCATTATAACCCAGCTCACTGCTAATTTACAACAAGCAAGAAGAGAAAAGGATGAGACAATGAGAGAATTTTTAGAGTTGACAGAACAGAGTCAAAAATTACAGATTCAGTTTCAGCAAGTAAGTGTTACTAATGCAACAAAATTCATTAGTTTTTTAGTAATGAATTTTAAAAATTCAAGAACAAATCTAAATTTGTTGAAAAGCCATTTCTTATATCATGTATGAAAAATTAGTGAATATGTGTTGCTATGTTAACCAGGAATTTAATTCATATTTCTTAAATGGTTTTCTACTAATATTTCCTTTGTATTTCCTCCCTGTCTCTATTTTGAAATCTTACAAATCTTATAAGGTTGATTGAGGGCATTTCTGCAGAAATTAACCTGTAGTCACATCCTACCTTTGCCAATTCTGGTATGGTTTATTTTAGTTAGGTTCTAAATGATAATAAGACTAAATATATTCCATTTTCTTTTAATTAGAGCCACAGGAATCTAATTGCATTAATCAGAATTTCTGATGGCAAGTAGCAAAACAATTTGAAATAGCTGAAGCAAAAGGGAGGTATTTAGTGTAAGGATTCAGGCTGTTTCCAGAATCCAAGGGCAGAAATACAACCAGGCCTCTGAAAGGGATTGGAACTACAAACTGGAAAGCCACGGAGAATTTGGGAAGTACTGTCTTTGAGGCCTCACTTTTCTTCCCATATCTACCTCAGTCTCAGGAGACCTAGCTTCTCTGCTGTATCATGGAAAAGATAATTTTATTGGCTCAGCTTGGGTATACCTATCTAGTTAGCCAAGGTAGCATGTTTGCTAGGGTCTCAAGCCTGCAAAGTTCCCAGAGAGCTATTGCAGGCACACCCCAAAGGTGTCTATTCCCTAATACAGTCACTTCAGAATTTAACATTTTGAGGTTTCTATTTTCAGTTGCAGGCTAGTGAAACTCTGAGAAACAGCACTCATAGTAGCACAGCTGCAGACTTACTACAAGCCAAACAGCAGATCCGCACTCATCAACAGCAGCTTGAAGAACAAGACCACTTACTAGAAGATTATCAGAAAAAGAAAGAAGACTTCACAATGCAAATTAGTTTCTTGCAAGAAAAAATTAAAGTATATGAAATGGTATGTTTATTTTAAGGAAGTCAGCTAACTTGTAGAAGCTTTACAGTTTAAAGTTTTTTATGCAAGTGGCTTTTTTTGTTAGGCACATGAATCACAAAATTTCATAATTAAGCTCTTTGTGTAATTTATTTCAAAAGCAAATGGGAATCTCAGTAATAGAGTTTTTAAGATAATAGTCATTACTGAGTTCCCTAAAAGTGATCAACCTATGTTAAACTGAATTAGCAGGAAAATCTGAATTTATAACTATAGTTTTTTTTGTCATTTATAATTATTTCCACTTATTTTAGCCATGGTTGTGAAATTCAGAAAATATTTTCACAACAGAAAGAAATTTTATGGATTTTAATGAGAAAAAAAATCGAATATAGTCAGTTCTCTTTATTTACATAAGTTATGTTCCATAGACTTAAGTTTCTGGGAACACTTATTTAGCAAATAAGTTCTCTGGTGGGGGGTTGGTGGAGGAAGTATGTGTCTGTGTATGGGTGTGTATATTTTACATATATGTATACCACATTGATTATAATCTTAAATCATAAAAACTACTCATCCTGGAAGATTGTTTCTTTATTTTTTAAAAGAGAAATCAAGGTTCAGAAGTGACTTGCTTGAGGCTGCCCCACTAACAGGTGTCAGGCTGGGATTCAGATCCTGTCAGTTACCCCAGAGCTGGAGCTTCCTATACTATACTGCACTGCCTCGGGTCCTCTCCATCCCTCTGGTCCTCTCTATAAGGGATGAACAAGGCAGTGTGTCACCTTGTTTGACCTCAGCTAAAAGTGTATGTCCAGTAACTCAAATTTTTTGTCACTCTGTGCACACCTACAAATGACTGAAAGCACCATGAGCATTGATTTTGGTGTTACAAATAAATTTTTGCAAGAACTCACAAATATGGAATCTGCAAAGAATGAGGATGGATTGTACATGCTATATAATACTTTTTATAAACTTAGGAGGTTCTTCTGCAAGATGTTGAGAAATTACCAAGACAAGAATATTGTTTGGATAATAATAATAGTAGTAATTAGCATTTATTAAGTGCTTACTGTGTAATACACAGTATTCAAAGCATCTTACACATATTAACTCATTGAATCATCACCGTAGGCCTGTGCAATAGAAGTACCATTATCACTCCTATTTTCTAAATGAGGACACCAAGACAAAGCAAGATGAGGTAAATTGCTCTGGTATACACAGGTAATAAGTTGATAGAGCCAGATTTCAAATCTAGGTTGTCTGACTCCAGAGACTGCTTTTAAATAATAGGGAGTGTACAAATTGGTAACAATGATATTATGAAAAATACGTGCTTTACAACTATAAGGTAATTTAAAAGTAATTAGGTAAGTGTTTACAGAACACCTATTTTTGTAGCAGGCCCTTGAAAGAAATACAGTGAGGCTTAAAGTGTGCCCTTTTCTTCACTGGAACTCATAGATTAGTAGGAGAGCTATGGCATGTACAAAGGACACCACAAAACCAGGATAAATGTGGGCCAAAAGTGCTTTGAAAGTTCTGAATAGGTCTGGCTTCATGAGGGAAGAGATTCAGGGTAGGCTTTAGTGGAGGAGTTTCTATTTCAGTTAAGTTTGTAAGTTGGAACACCCCCTTTTTAATTGTATTTTGTTTCCCCAGCAGTTGGTCTAATGCATAGAACATAGTAGCTACTCAATACTTACTTCGTAAACAAGTGGATAAATTAAGGATCTAAACTGATAGAAATGGGGAGAACATTTTAGACAGAGTGTGGAGTAGGCATAAAGACTTAGGATGAAACATGTTAAAAATCAGTAAGGATCAAAAAATGGTGTGATTTATCTAGAAACAGTAGTCTTTGAAGGTTAATCTTTCCAGGAGGTAAGAGTAGAAGGATAATCTAGGGCTCGGTGAGAAGAGCCTGGAGATTGGATTGTATTAGATTTACTCTGTGGGCCATATAAATTGAGATTATCTAAAATTCAAGTAATTCATTTTTGTAGGGGGAATAACCTTTGTTTATTTGAATGTAACAAGAATACTTTTATCAATCTGTTTTTCACTATATACATATTTTTAAAATTTTTATTCTTAAGAAAATGAATCCCCCCGAGTAATAGTTCTATTGGCAGCTGAGGCATTAGGGTCAGCTAAGGCATTAGGGTCAGAAATGAAATGGTCTTTGTTCCCTAGACCAGTGGTCCCCAACCTTTTTGGCACCAAGGACCAGTTTCATGGAAGACACTTTCTCCACAGACTTGGGGGAGGAATGGTTTGGGGATGACATCAGGCATTAGTTAGATTCATATAAGGAGCTTGCAACCTAGATCCTTCACATGGACAGTTCACAATAAGGTTTGAGCTCCTATGAGAATCTAATGCTGCAGCTGATCTGACAGAGGCGAGCTTACTGCTCGCTTACCTCCTGCTGTGGAGCCCAGTCCTTAACAGGCCCCAACCGGTACTGGGTCCGCAGCCTGGAGGTTGGGGACCCCTTCCTTACACAACTGTGTTGATGATCAAAAGCTCATTCTCATTGTCCTAATCCTGCAAACTTCCTATCGTGCCATAGCATATTATTCCCCACCATCTCAGGTGTATTTCCAAAAGATAGTGTATTCAACCACAAGGCTTTTTTTTTAAGACCACAAAATATAAGTGGTTTAAAACCGTGTACTTTGAAACGAGTGACACTAAGAAAAATAAACCATAAGTTTGTGTTGTTTAATGGTTGAATGAAGAATTATTGTTGGTTGTTATTATATCAGGTGTTGGACAATTTTGAATTAAATGATACTGTTTTATGAAGACCCGCCTCCCTTACCGAAATCAGGAAACAGAAAAGTTAGATTTTATAACATTAACATTTTTCAAACTTAGTTACTTATTTAACAGTTTAACTGGAATTGACCACCATGAACCGATTTTACTTTCTCATAGGCTCCAAATGTGTTATAGATTTCTTTCTAGTATGTAAATATATTATACTTGTATATATTAATAGTGCAGTAAGAATAAAATGCCTTAATAGATGATATTTTATTTTAGCATATTCTGTGAGATAGAGGAAATAATATTATCTTTGTTGTACGGATGAAACACTGGGATTCAAGGAGATTAAACTGATTTACTAATATCCTGTTGTAGTGCAGAGTTTGAAGTAAGAAGGCTCAGGACTTGGTAATAACATGGTAATATTGGATGGGATATGTGATACTAAGACAAAAGCTGATAGAATTTTGCCCAAGAGGCTGCACAGGATAACATTCATTGCCTTGGTTAATTTGTATAGTACAGAATCTGGCCTTCAACTTGTAGGTTCAGAAGTCTGATTTTTTTTTTTTCCCCCTGTCAACTGAGACGAGCTACCTCAGAAGTGAACTCAGATTTTCCAAGTTCACGAGACTAATTTTTTTTGTTTGTTTTGAGACAGAGTCTCGCTCTGTCTCACAGGCTGGAGTCCAATGGTGAGATCTCAGCTCACTGCAACCTCTGTCCTCCAGGTTCATGTGATTCTCCTGCCTTAGCCTCCTGAGTAGCTGGGATCACAGTTGCCCACCCTCACACCTGGCTAATTTTTGTATTTTTAGTAGAGACGGGGTTTCACCATGAGGCTAATGTTTAAAGCTTGAATAAGATTATTAATTTACAATGAGAAATCATTATCACAGGGACCTAAATATTTCAAGTTCATTGGATTTTTATATTATTTCCATGGGCAGATGAATTTTAAAAGTCAAATAATAATTATGAAGTTAGGTAATGACCATGAGATCAAAAGGTTTTAGAGGAATCACATGTTCAGGGGCATTAGGCTGAGATAACCTGATCTATCTCTCTCACAGTAGGAATGATCATGCCTATAGATGGGAATTCTTTTTTTTTTTTTTTTTTGAGACGGAGTCTCGCTCTGACGCCCAGGCTGGAGTGCAGTGGCCGGATCTCAGCTCACTGCAAGCTCCGCCTCCCGGGTTTACGCCATTCTCCTGCCTCAGCCTCCCGAGTAGCTGGGACGACAGGCGCCCGCCACCTCGCCCGGCTAGTTTTTTGTATTTTTTTTAGTAGAGACGGGGTTTCACCGGGTTAGCCAGGATGGTCTCGATCTCCTGACCTTGTGATCCGCCCGTCTTGGCCTCCCAAAGTGCTGGGATTACAGGCTTGAGCCACCGCGCCCGGCCTAGATGGGAATTCTTAAATGCTGTTTGCTACAAGCCCTGACGTTTCTTTCTACGTTAGGTAATGTTTTTTCTAGAGCAACCAGAATTCTCAAAGGCTGTATTTGAATGGACACTGCTAACATTTCTCTCTGAGGCTTTTCTTTTTCTCAGCCTTGACGTTTCTTCTTTAGATAAGTTAATACATTCATTCAAGGCACCTTTGAATCCTGTTTGCCTGGGACTCCTGTCTCCTTAAAATAATTTTACTTACCTACTTATGTTCTGATCCATTCTGTAGATTTCATGTATTTATTTGTCTTTGAGACTATAGCCCTCTGTTACTTACAGAAGCAACTAAGTTACTGAAGCAAAACTTTGACCGAGGGCCTCTGCTTGACTTTGTCATGCTGAAGTAATCACAATAACAAATATGCCTTGGCCTGTGTCTGCGCTTAGCCTTGTCTCCGTTCCAGAATAGAATCCCAAATAAGAACTGGGGGAGAGTATCTGCTTTGCTTTCAAAATTCTGTTTAAACCAAAAGTTTAGGACCAAGTTGATATGCCATAAATGGTATAGTTGTCTTAGATGTCACTTGAGGTTCAACCTTTTAAGCATTGCATATCTCTAAATTTCTGACTGACTTAAGAGCCCAGGACTGAAGTTAAGACAGACCATTAGGAATCTGTTTTTGTTGTTTTTCTTTTCCATAGCCCTTGCCCATGACACACATTGAAGTCACCAGAATACATGTGAGGAACTTTGATTTGTTTTTATCTTTCTGAATGTGTTTAGAGTATATGCAGTACTTTAGCTATAGAGAATACTAAATATTTAGAATGTTGATCAGTTATTAAGAAAAATGAGAATATAACAGTTTGGAGACATCTAAAATCAGACTGGGTTTTTAAACTAAAACTTTTAATCACAGAAATGTTAAGAGAAATTTCTTCTAAGAAGGCCATAACTACTGTAGTGTTTGCTCACAAGTAGTGTTGGGTACACGAGTTCTAGGTCTCATTATTGTGGAAAAAATTGAGGGGCAGGACCAACATTTACTTTTTGTAGAATTTTTTAAAAAGGAAACTTCTATCAATCTTTTGGTAATGAGATGAAGCGGTATAATTTGCCAGAAGCTAAAAATGCCATCTTACATTTTCATTTTTTTCCCTAAAGGAACAAGATAAAAAAGTAGAAAACTCAAATAAAGAAGAAATACAGGAAAAGGAGACAATCATTGAAGAATTAAACACAAAAATAATAGAAGAAGAAAAGAAAACTCTTGAGCTAAAGGATAAATTAACAGCTGCTGATAAATTACTAGGAGAATTACAAGAACAGGTTGTGCAAAAGAACCAAGAAATAAAAAATATGAAATTAGAGCTGACTAATTCTAAGCAAAAAGAAAGACAATCTTCTGAAGAAATAAAACAGTTAATGGGGACAGTCGAAGAACTTCAGAAGAGAAATCATAAAGACAGCCAGTTCGAAACTGATATAGTACAACGAATGGAACAAGAAACACAAAGAAAGTTAGAACAACTCCGAGCAGAGCTGGATGAGATGTATGGGCAGCAGATAGTACAAATGAAACAAGAATTAATAAGACAACACGTGTCACAGATGGAGGAACTTAAAACACGGCATAAGGGAGAAATGGAGAATGCTTTAAGGTCATATCCAAATATTACAGTTAATGAAGATCAGATAAAGTTAATGAATGTGGCAATAAATGAACTGAATATAAAATTGCAAGATACTAACTCTCAAAAGGAAAAACTCAAGGAAGAACTAGGAGTAATTTTAGAAGAAAAGTGTGCTCTGCAGAGACAGCTTGAAGACCTTTTTGAAGAATTGAGCTTTTCAAGGGAACAAATTCAGAGAGCTAGACAGACAATAGCTGAACAAGAAAGTAAACTGAATGAAGCACAAAAGTCCCTTAGTACAGTGGAAGATTTGAAAGCTGAGATTGTTTCTGCATCTGAATCCCGAAAGGAACTAGAATTAAAACATGAAGCAGAAGTTACAAATTATAAGATAAAACTTGAAATGTTAGAAAAAGAAAAGAATGCTGTGTTAGACAGAATGGCTGAATCACAAGAAGCTGAATTAGAGAGGCTGAGAACACAGCTTCTATTTAGTCATGAAGAAGAACTTTCCAAATTGAAGGAAGATTTAGAAATTGAACATCAAATAAATATTGAAAAACTTAAAGATAATTTAGGCATTCACTATAAACAGCAGATAGATGGTTTACAGAATGAAATGAGTCAAAAGATAGAAACCATGCAGTTTGAAAAAGACAATTTGATAACTAAGCAGAATCAATTAATTTTGGAAATTTCGAAGCTAAAAGATTTACAGCAGTCTCTTGTAAATTCAAAGTCAGAAGAAATGACTCTTCAAATCAATGAACTTCAAAAAGAAATTGAAATACTCAGACAAGAAGAAAAGGAAAAGGGTACACTTGAACAAGAAGTTCAAGAATTACAACTTAAAATAGAACTATTAGAAAAACAGATGAAGGAAAAAGAGAATGATCTTCAAGAAAAATTCACACAACTTGAAGCAGAGAATAGCATTCTTAAAGATGAAAAGAAAGCTCTTGAAGACATGTTGAAAATACATACTCCGGATAACCAAGAAGAAAGATTGATTTTCATAGACTCCATTAAGTCCAAATCCAAAGACTCTGTCTGGGAAAAAGAAATAGAAATACTTACAGAGGAAAATGAGGACCTCAAACAGCAATGTATTCAGCTAAATGAAGAGATTGAAAAGCAAAGGAACACTTTTTCATTTGCGGAAAAAAACTTTGAAGTTAACTATCAAGAGTTACAAGAGGAATATGCTTGCCTTCTCAAAGTAAAAGATGATTTAGAAGACAGTAAAAATAAACAGGAATTAGAGTATAAAAGTAAGCTTAAAGCACTTAATGAAGAGCTTCATTTGCAAAGAATAAATCCAACTACAGTGAAAACGAAAAGTTCTGTCTTTGATGAAGACAAAACTTTTGTAGCAGAAACATTGGAAATGGGTGAGGTTGTTGAGAAGGATACAACAGAACTCATGGAAAAACTTGAGGTAACCAAGCGAGAGAAATTAGAGCTGTCACAGAGACTAGCTGATCTTTCTGAACAATTGAAACAGAAACATGGTGAGATTAGTTTTCTAAATGAAGAAGTTAAATCTTTAAAGCAAGAGAAAGAACAAGTTTTATTGAGATGTAGAGAGCTAGAAATCATTATTAACCACAACAGGGCAGGAAATGTACAGTCATGTGATACTCAAGTAAGCTCCTTATCAGATGGAGTTGTGACTATGACAAGCAGGGATGCTGAAGGATCAGTTTCTAAAGTAAATAAAAGTTTTGGTGAAGAATCAAAAATAATGGTGGAAGATAAAGTTTCTTTTGAAAATATGACTACTGGAAAAGAAAGTAAGCAAGAACAGTTGATTTTGGATCACTTACCATCTGTAACAAAGGAATCATCACTTAGAGCAGCTCAACCAAGTGAAAATGATAAACTTCAGAAAGAACTCAATGTACTTAAATCAGAACAGGTATGTTTACTTATTTACATATGGTAAAGCACAATGAAAATGTACGTTTCGGCCAGGCGCAGTGGCTCACGCCTGTAATCGTAGCACTTTGGGAGGCCAAGGCTGGCGGATCACAAGGTCAGGAGATCAAGACCATCCTGGCTAACATGGTGAAACCCTGTCTCTACTAAAAACACAAAAAATTAGCTGGGCATGGTGGCGGGTGCCTGTAGTCCCAGCTGCTGGGGAGACTGAGGCAGGAAAATGGCGTGAACCCAGGAGGCAGAGCTTGCAGTGAGCCAAGATCGTGCCACTGTGCTCTAGCCTGGACAAGAGAGTGAGACTCTGTCTCAAAAAAAAAAAAAAAGAGAGAAAAAAAGAAAATGTACATTTCACACTAAGGCTTCACCTTCATAAAACATAAATTCATATCCTTAGAAGAAAATGAAAATGAACCCTCTAATGTAATTTTAACTTGAGCCTATCATTTATTTATCATTTAAGTATTTTTTTTAAACCATTGTTGACTTTCTTTCAATCTATGTTGCATATTCTGCTTAGGAAATAAAACACACTAATGGATTCAGATTTTCTTTGGAAAGACAAGAGTTTGTATAACTTTGTGGAGAATCTCAGCATTAGAAAAGTTACTAATTTCATTTTATAATTTTTGTTATAATCTCAAAGATTTGTTTCAGTTTTATTTCATAGTGATGTTTTCAAGTCTCCACAACTGAAAATGAACTCCTAAGCTTTTTAGTAGTCTTTATAGTTGTTAGGTGGTTATGAAATTATATTTTCCTGGAAGAAAGAAAACCCCTTGATTTAAGTCCTAGAGTTTTTTCAGAATCTTTGTTATACCTGAAGGGAAAAAAACAGTATTAACTCTAAATATAGTTAAAGAATTATATGTATATAATAACAGATCACTCCTGATAATTTATATTTGCCAGATACTGATATTAAAATAACAGGAAAATTCTGCTATCTACAGTGTAATGATGCTAACTAAAGTTTTATGTGTTTCTTCATTTATCTAACAAATGTTTATTGACTCTCTTGGCAAGTACGAATATAGTGGCCAACAAGAGAGAGGTTTCTGGTCTCAAAGAACATGTATTTTAGTCAGGGAGGCAGGTGATAAATGAAACAAGTAGGATAGTTAGAAATAGTGATAACGTCTATGAAGAAATAGGATAATGTGATAGAGAATGATGGAGAGAGAGGGTAATAACAACATTAAATATGGTGGTCAGGAAAGGTCTCTAGGAGGAATTGACATTTGAACTGAGATCTGAATGACATTGAAGCTCTAAGTAGAGCAATTGTAAAGACATGGGTAAGTTTAAAGAACAAAATGAAGGCCTGTGTAGTTGAGTTTGAGAGAGCAAGAGAGTGGAAGAAGAGTTTGAAGGAGAAAGAGACCAGACCTTGGAGAATCTTACAGACTTTGGAAGTCATTGGAAAATTTTCTCTTTTTATTCCTAAATATATCATATTTGTGATCTTATATCAAATGTCGAGATATTTTATATTTATGATTTATATCAAATGTAGAGATATTTTATATATTTAATTGCCTAAATAGCGTCAAGAAATTCAAATTGCTTAACGGTTTTTTTTTTTTTTTTTTTTTTGAGACCGAGTCTCACTCTGCCACCCAGGCTGGAATGCAGTGGTGTGATCTCAGCTCACTGCAACCTCTGCCTCCCAGGTGCAATCAATTCTCCTGCCTCAGCCTCCTGAGTAGCTGGGATTACAGGCATGCGCCATCACGCCTGGGTAATTTTTGTACTTTTAGTAGAGACAAGGTTTCACCATGTTGGCCAGATTGGTCTCAAACTTCTGACCTTAGGTGATCCAACAGCCTCGGCCTCCCAAAGTGCTGGGATTACAGGTGCGAGCCACTGCGCCTGGCCAAATTGCTTAACTATTAGTGTTCTGTTAAATGTCTGGAATTGTTTTCAAAACCATAATGTGTGGCAGTTACTTGTGAAAATGTCACACATCTTTTAATTTTTTTTAGAAAGCATTTTTGGAAGAAGACCTGCATTTGACCCTGAGCTGTCAAAATGGTCAAATTTTCTTAGTAAGAATTCTAATTTTCTTTTTTTTTTTTTTTTTTTTTTTTTGAGACAGGCTCTCACTGCTCTCCAGACTAGAATCTCATGGTGCAATCACAGCATCCTGCAGCCTTGACCTCCTGGACTCAGGTGATCCTCTCACTTCAGCCTCCTGAGTAGCTGGGATTACAGGCATGCACCACACACCCAGCTAGTTTTTTATATTTTTTGTAGAGGCAGGGATTTGCCATGTTGCCCAGGCTGGTCTCAAACTCCTGGGCTTAAATTAAACGATCTTCTTGACTTGGCCTCCTAAAGTGCTGGGATTATAGGCATGAGTCTTTGTCCCCAGCCAGAATTCTGTTTTCTCTAATAAAGAGATACTAAAAAAATACTTTTGATGGCATTCAGATACCCTCTATGTGACATTGACTACATAAAGTAAAGGGGAGCAAGCCTGTAAACTTCCTGCCCATTCATCATTACCAAGACAGACCTCTTTATTGATGGAAAGGGAAGTTCACAGAAGAAATCGAGCAGTGACTTACACAATGGTAACACCTAAGAGCAGCCTAAATATGCTTGAAATAATGTGGATGCCACAAAAATATCTCTAATATACTTAGGAAGTTTGGGCAGAAGGAGAAAAATAAAAACATCATAGAAGTCTTTTCAGGGTTGGGATGCAAGGAAGAAGGAAGAGTGACAGGAATTTTATAGATACTGATTAATTATTGATGCAGGGAGAGGTCATAGATTGAAGTGTATGTGTTTAAACTCGAAGATAATTATTAGAATCAAAAGAGATACCGGAGCTTAGAAACTACAGCAGGAACCACTAGAATATCAGCTCCTTGAGAGCAGGGACCCAGTCTCCTGTATCTCTAGTGCCTAGAATAATGTCTAACACATGATAGGCAGTAAATAATTTTTTTAAATGAATGAATGAATGCATGAATAAAAGGGGGGGAATAAATAAAGCCCACTTATCAAGAACCAACAGTGAAATAGCACAGGCCTTCACGTTGGAGTCAGGAAGATCAGAATAGCTTTTGTCACTTGCTGTTCTGTTATGTAGGTCCTAACCATTGCAAAGACAAAAAGATACGTGGTATGATTGGAGAGAAAGATACTTGTCATAATTCACATGTATAATTAAATTAAAAAATTAAACATGAGAAATGAAAGTCTTTTTTTTTTTTTTTTTAGACGGAGTCTCACTCTGTTGCCCAGGCTAGAGTGGATCTCAGCTCACTACAAATTCAGCCTATCGAGTAGCTGGGATTACAGGTGGCCACCACCACGCCTGGCTAATTTTTGTATTTTTAGTACAGATGGGGTTTCACCATGTTGGCCAGCCTGGTCTTGAACTACTGACCTCAAGTGATTTACATCTTTAATGTAAAATAAATATGAATAAGCCAATGTAAATAAAATTGTAACACTTTAATGAAGGATAAGAGACTTGAATAAATGAAAAGTCTAATTTCTGAGTGGGAAGATTTGAATATTGTAAAAATCCAGGTTATCTCTAGATTAATCTGTAATCCTTATGTAGTTCCATTCCAACTCACAATGAAAAGTTACTGAAATTCAGCTTAGTAATTGGTGTATAGTTTATCTGGAAGAAGAAATGCACAAGAGTCAAGAATATTTTTGAAAAACACAGAATAGTAATTGCTGTATAGTTGATGTGGAAGAAGAAATACACAAGAAGAGTCAAGAATATTTTTGAAAAATGCAGAATGCATTTAACATGATATGTTGAATAACTTTAGCCTTAAATGTACTGATTTTATAAATATTGAAAATGAGTTAAGCTATTAGTTCTAGAAGCTAGAATATCAGAGCATGTAGACTTAAGAAAAGTAGAAAGAAGGAAATAATAAAGTTAAGAACAAAATAAGCAAAGTTAGAATAACCAAAACAGGAAGAAGAGTTTTCAAGGATTTTGAAAGTTTATTATTTGTAAACACTAGTGGCTGGGCATGGTGGCTCACACCTGTAATCCCAGCACTTTGGGAGGCTGAGGTGGACAGATCACGAGGTCAGGAGTTCGAGACTGGCCTGACCAACATGGTGAAACCCCGTCTCTAATAAAAATAGAAAAATTAGCCGGGCGTGGGAGCGCGTGCCTGTAATCCCAGCTATTCAGAAGGCTGAGGCAGGAGAATTTCTTGAACCCAGGAGACAGAGGTTGTAGTGAGCTGAGATTGCGCCACTGCACTCCAGCGTAGGTGACAGAGCAAGAAAGACTGTGTCTCAAAAATAAATAAATAAATAAAATAAAATAAACACTAGTAAAGTGTTGGACTTCCAAGAATATGGGCCAGTGGGTGCGGTGGCTCACACCTGTAATCCCAGCACTTTGGTAGGCCAAGGTGGGTGGATCCCAAGGTGAGACCAGGAGATCAAGACCATCCTGACTAACATGGTGAAACCCCATCTCTACTAAAAATACAAAAAATTAGCTGGGCCTGGTGGCATGTGCCTGTAATCCCAGCTACTCAGGGGACTGAGGCAGGTGAATTGCTTGAACCCAGGAGGTGGAGGTTGCAGTGAGCCAAGGTCGCGCCACTGCACTCCAGCCTGGGTGACAAAGGGAGACTCCATCTCAAAAAAAAAAAAAAAGAATATGGGCCAGGCATGGTGGCTCACGCCTGTAATCCCAGCACTTTGGGAGGCTGAGGCAGGTGGATCACGAGGTCAGGAGATCAAGACCATCCTGGCCAACATGGTGAAACCCTGTCTCTACTAAAAATACAAAAAATTAGCTGGGCGTGGTGGTGCGCACCTGTAGTCTCAGCTACTTGGGAAGTTGAGGCAGGAGAATTGCTTGAAACCCAGAGACGGAGATTGCAGTGAGCTGAGATCGCGCCACTGCACTCCAGCCTAGCAACAGAGCGAGACTCTGTCAAAAAAAAAAAAAAAAAAAAAAAAGAAGAGTATGATCAGGGAAAAAAAGACAAACCAAATGAGGCTTGGTGCAGTTGCTCGCACCTATAATCCCAGTGCTTTGGATGGCTGAGACAGGAGGATTGCTTGAGCCCAGGAGTTCAAGACCAACCTGGACAACATAGCAAGGTGCCTGTCTCCACAAAAAATTTAAAAATCAGCCAGGTATGATGGCATGTGCCTGTAGTCTCAGCTATTTGAGAGGCTGAGGTAGGAGAATTGCTTCACCCCAGGAGTTAGAGGCTGCAGTGAGCTATGATTGCACCATTGTACTTCAGCCTGGGCGACAGAGTGAGACCCTATCTCTAAAACAAACAAAATCAAATGAATGAAAATAAAAACATAAGTATAGATACCATAGAGATTCATAAAAGAATACTATAAATAAATGTCCATCAATAATTTTGAAAATAGAGATGAACTGGATGGTTTTCTGGAAGAATATAAACTACCTCAATCAACTCGAAATACAAAACCTGAATAAACCAATAACCATTAAATAATTTGAAATCATAGAGGTTTTCCCTCTCTCCTCTCCTCCAACCAAAAATATTAGACTGAGACCATTTTACAAGTGGGTCTTACCACCTCAACCAGTATGTAATTGCTTAATAAAATAGAATTAAAGAACTAGAGGGAAGAAAAGAAGGAAAGAAGAAAGGTAAGATAGACAAAAGAAAAACCCAGTTATCTTATGAGACTGATAAGAAGACCTGATAAGAACAGTACAAACAAATAAAATCATAGATGAATCGAGACTGATAAGAAGACCTGATAAGAACAGTACAAACAAATAAAATCATAGATGAATCTTACTTATGAGTGGTTGTAGAAATCCTAAATAAAATATTAGCAAATTATTCTTTTTTTTTTTTTTGAAACGGAGTCTCGCTCTGTCGCCCAGGCTGGAGTGCAGTGGCCGGATCTCAGCTCACTGCAAGCTCCGCCTCCCTGGTTCACGCCATTCTCCTGCCTCAGCCTCCCGAGTAGCTGGGACTACAGGCGCCCGCCACCTCGCCCGGCTATTTTTTTTGGATTTTTTATTAGAGACGGGGTTTCACCGTATTAGCCAGGATGGTCTCGATCTCCTGACCTCGTGATCCACCCGTCTCAGCCTCCCAAAGTGCTGGGATTACAGGCTTGAGCCACCGCGCCCGGCTGCAAATTATAGGAATGGAAGAATAATTCAATATCTGAAAAATCTATTAATGTTAACTTCACATTCATAGATAGCAGGAAAAAAATCCATATGATCTATTTTATTTTTTATTTTGTTTTGTTTTTGAGATGGGATCTTGCTCTGTCACCCAGGCTGGAGTGCAGTGGGACAGTCACATTTCACTGTGGCTACAACCTCCCAGGCTCATGTGATCCTCCCGATTCAGCCTCCCAACTAGCTGGGACCACAGGCACATAGCACCATGCCCAGCTAAGATTTTTTAAAACATTTTTGTACAGACAGGAGGATCTCGCTGTGTTGCCCAGGCAGGTCTAAAATGTAGGGGATCAGTCAGGGTGGTGGGAGATAAAGTTATAGGAAATAGACACAAACCTTCTTGGAAGGCTGGGAGGTTTGCGTAGCTTCAGTGAAAGATTTGATTGAAGGCAGCTGAATTCTATTAAAAGCTTAGGACGTAGGTACATAGTAATGTAGGGGAGTTTACCTAAAGAGCTTGTTTACTCATGTGGTCCTAAGACAGACCTTTGATCATTTGCAGGACTGCTCTCTCTGGGGAGGATGACCAGATTACCCACAAGTGTGTTGACTCAAAGCCTTTGTCATTAAATCTATGCTGAATAAATGCCCACAGGACCAGCTAGTCAGGGCATGCGGCTGCTGCAATTCTTTCTGTGAGCAGCCTGGCCCCCTAACCACTCTTTTACTAAATACTGGTGTCTGAGTACGTTATTCATCCATTGTGCAGCCTGAGTCTGCGGGTCAGACCTTGGCACTTTAACTCCTGGGCTCAAGCAGTTATTCCACATTGACCTCCCAAAGTGCTGGGATTACAGGAGTGAGCCATCATGCCTGGCCTTATTTTATTTTTTTAGAGACAAGTTCTTGCTCTTGCCAGGCTGGAGTGCAGTGGCATAATTATAGCTCACTGCAACCTTGAACTCCTGGACTCAGGCAGTCTTCCCATCTCAGCCTCCTAAGTAGCTGGGACTACAGGCACATATTACCACTCCTGGCTAATTTATTATTTTTTTTTAGAGATGGGGTCTTTTTATGTTGCCCAGGCTGGTTTTGAATTCCTGGACTCAAGCGATGCTCCCACCTGAGCCTCCTGAGTAGCTGGGATTATAAGTACAAGTTACCGTGTCCAACCCATATAATCATTTTAATATATATTGGAAAAGAATCCATAAAAAACCTAATAACTCATAATTTTTTTTCAATGGAGAAAATCCGGAATAGAAGGGAAATTTCTTAACCGCAGTAATTGTTTTCATTAAAACATTTAGCAGATAACATTTCTAATAGTGAAATTTAGAAGCATTCTCCTTAATATCAAGTAAGTATAGAATAAAATATGATAGAAGCATTCCCATTAAAATTAAATATAGAATCAAGTGTAGGATACCTACTTTCAACATTACTATTTCAACATTGGTTTGTAGTTCCTAGCCAATGCAATTTGACAAGAATAAGAAATGAGATAAAGAATATGAAAACTTCTTTATGAATAACAAAATAAACCCTACACAAGATGTTTTGAACTTTTGTCAAGAAAATTATAAAACACTGAAGCATGTAAATATCTCACTATATGGCAATATGTACCATATTCATAGTGGAAAGATGTAAAGAAAAATGTCAGTTCTCTCCAAATTATTCTCCGTATTCAGTGTATTTCCAGTTATAATTACAAGGAAATTTTTCATGGATCTTGAAAAACTGATTGTAAAATTGATACAGACAAGTAAATACTCAAGAATAATCAATAGAGTCCTAGAAAAATGTATTGCATCTGATAACAAGATTTACTACAAAATCATGATAGACAGTATGGTTTGATGCTAGAATGGACAAATAGATCAGTGGAGCATAATGGAAAGCCCGAAACTCATTGAGATCCTTGTGAAATTTTAGTATATAGGAAAGAGACCCTACAAGTCAACTTTTATTTAATAATACTTAGTGAGCCTCTGCTGCATTCTACACAGTTTTATTCCCTGGTGATATAACAGTGAATAAAAACAAGTAGTAGGGGGGGTGCAGTAGCTCATGCCTGTAATCTCAGCACTTTGGAAGGATGGCTTGAGCCCAGGAGTTTCAGGCCAGCCTGGGCAACAGAGTGAGACCCCATCTTTACCTAAAAATAGAAAGTTAGCTGGACATGGTGGCATGCACCAGTAGTCCTAACTACTTGGGAGGCTGAGGTGGGAGGAGCGCTTGAACCCAGGAGGTCAAGGCTGCAGTGAGCCATGACTGCACCACTGTACTCTAGCCTGGGTGACAGAATAAGACCCTGTCTCCAAAAAAAAAAAAAAAAAAAAAAGCATTTATTAATTTGGGGTGTGAGTACATAAATGTTGGTTACTTCATTATTTCCATTTCTGTACATTTAAAATATTTTAGAACAAAAAATTAAAGATGAGTCATGCCAGCTATACCAAAAATATCACAATTTAGTATAAAACAGAGGCAATGAAAACATTGTGCTACTTTCCTTGAAATAGAAAAGTAGATCAATGCAACAGAATGAAGACAGAAAAAAAAATTAGCCTTCAGTTCTCTTATGAATTTTTAAACTCTTGTAGTCAGTATATGCAAAAAATAGGAGTTGAATTATTTGATTTGTCATTTAAAAATATTATAATGTTTACATATGTTTACTTTAAGAATGATTTAAGGCTACAGATGGAAGCCCAACGCATTTGCCTCTCTCTGGTTTATTCAACTCATGTGGATCAGGTCCGTGAATATATGGAAAATGAAAAAGATAAAGCTCTTTGCAGTCTTAAAGAGGAGCTTATTTCTGCTCAAGAGGAAAAGATCAAGGAACTTCAGAAAATACACCAGTTAGAGCTACAGAATACGAAAACTCAAGAAACAGGTAAAATGGTTTCTGACTTATAAGTACCATGATCCAAATAAGTATTGGATAGAGCCCGCCATTCTATAATTTTTTCCTTGTCATAGAACCCACAGAGGAAGGTGATTTCCAGTTGTTGATATAATCACTAGGCATTCATTTAAGTGCTTGAGAAAGCTGAAATCATTCTCCAATAGGAAGTCACAATCCACTGAGAAAGTATATATAAAATAAACAATTTATCCAGCAGAAGAACGAATAGAAAGAATGGGAGGAGAAAGGAGAAATATCTAGTGCTTCCTGGCAGGATGAGTAGGGTGAGGTGGGAGACAGAGTAGTGGGGTTGGAATTTTAAGGGAGGTTCTGGAGTCCTTAGAATTGAGGTGTAAAGGTACACCCATTTTGAAAAATTGAGAGTTCAAGGTGTGTGAGAAAGTAGTTGGGGTTATAGCTGGAGAGATTGGCAAGAGCTTGATTAGAAAAAGTTTTGTTCTGAAAGAAGCATGTATAAGCCTTATGCTGTTGGTGATAAGACCTACTACAGGGTTTTAAATAGAGTAACACAATATGGTTTTTATTTTATGATGATACCACTGGGGTGAGTTGGAGGAGGTGAGATTAGTGATTAGAACACCAGGTAAGCAACTAAGGCTATCGTTTCCATAAACAGTAAGTATTAACTAAATGTTAATGAGGATGGAAAAGAAGTTTGCATTCAAAAGTAGAAATTTGAGAATGGCTTAAATAAGAGTACAAACTTTTAAAATTCAGGAGTGCTTTGGGTTTTAATTTAATAAGATTTTAAGCATGTAATATTTTTATTGATGTCCTCTTCAAACAGGTTAGTGTTTTTCAAACTAGAGGCTAATTAATAGGTCCATTAATGGGTGGTGAAGTCAGTTTAGTGAGTAATGATCAACATTTAAAAAAAAAAAACAAAGTAGAGTAGAACAGAAAACATTGGAGTACATGGCACTATAGTAGAAGAATAAATATTGATTTCTGAGATTTTTATTTCAGTTTTACATAGATGTATGTAATAGGTTATGATATATGATGCGTTTTTTTATGTTGGGTTTTAGTAAAAAGAAGTCACTGCTTTGTACCATTTTGTGGATAGAAGTGGAAAATCTCACAAATTTTCTGAGACAATGTTGAGCAATGGAAAATAACTCAAAGAAATAAAGAATTTAAAATGATTCTTATTGCAGGGGAGTTTCCAGTTGAAACATAAGTTAAATATTATCATAGTTCTTAAGTATGTAAATTGAATCTCTTAATCCATTATCTGTTCTATTAGGTGATGAAGGAAAGCCTTTACATCTGCTCATTGGAAAACTTCGAAAGGCAGTGTCTGAAGAATGTTCTTATTTTTTACAGGTAAGATGTTTAAAAGTACTTTTATGGCCAGGTGTGGTGGCTGACACTTGTAATCCCAGCACTTTGGGAGGCTGAGGTGGGCGGATCACTTGAGTTCGAGACCAGCCCTGCCAACATGGTGAAACCTGGTCTCTACCAAAAAATACAAAAATGAGTCCGGCGTGGTGATGTGTGCCTATAGTCCCAGTTACTGGGGAGACTGAGGCATTGGAATCGCTTGGGCTTGAAAGGCAGAGGTTGCATTGATGAGTGGAGATCATGCTACTGCACTCCAGCCTGGGTGACAGAGTGGGACTCTGTCTCAAAAAAAAGAAAATAATAATAGATTTTAAAAAATAAATAAAAAGTACTTTTACACAAGGAGTGCTAAATTATAAGTTGCTACTAATTTGATGATCACCCAGCCTAGTTTTCTCCACTACCTTACTTCAGAACTGTACTTAGAAAGTATTCCTGAGTTTTTAAGTTAAAATGAGCATTAAAAATTTTCCTGATAATCTGTTTGAAACAAAAGAAATTCTGGTAAATTATCTCACCTGTAGAACAGACAGTAATTGTTGGTGTTGCCATAGATGAGTTACAAGGACAAGATGGAGACATCTTGGGAGACTGTGTAGAGTGAGCCAAAACACTAAGATGGCACCTATCTTTCTGGGTCCCAGTTTCTTTGTCTGTAAATTGGATGATTGTTTACGGTTTCTAAAATCAACTCTAATGTGAAAAAACTGCATCTTAGGGGCTATGCTGAAAATTTAATAAACTTAATTATTAATTGACAGTATAGTTTAAGCAAATCTCAAGAAATCTGAAGAAATAGCAGTGAACAATTTGATTTTTAAGTCTAGAAGTTGGTGGTGGTAATTTTTTAGTTATATGAGGAACAAAGGTAAAAGTTATTTGAAAGCTTATCAAATGATTATGGGGCATGTATTGTTTTAAATGATGATAGAATTGTCTGTTGCCCAGGAGAAGAACCAAAACAATGGGTCACATATTTTCAATTTTTGTGTGTGTATATAAATTACATAAAACTATTCTCGTGTGTTAGGAATCTTTTTTGTTTTTCTTTTTTTATTTGAGACAGAGAGTCTTGCTCTGTCGCCCAGGCTGGAGTGCAGTGGCACAGTCTCCGTTCACTGCGACCTTTGCCTCCCAGGTTCAAGCTATTCTTGTGCCTCATCTACCGAGTAGCTGGGATGACAGATGCAGGCCACCACGCCCGGCTAGTTTTTGTATTTTTAGTAGAGATGAGGTTTTGCCATGTTGGCCAGGCTGGTCTCAAACTCCTGACCTCAGGTGATCCACCTGCCTCGACCTCCCAAAGTGCTGGGATTACAGGCGTGAGCCACTACGCCTGGCCTCATGTGTTATGAATATTATCTTAAGTATATGAATGTAATTCTCTTGCTTGATATAATTTCTTTAGAATTTATAGATTTCTTTCTGATCAGCATTTCTGAACTTCCATCCTTGTCCTGTGGTGTTTTTTCAAAGGTATTTGAGATTACAGAGATAACATCAGAAATAGGATTCAAGCTAGGAAGTAGTTGATTAAAGTATAAGATAAATTCTATTATTATAAGGAAGCAAAAAAAATTATGGTTTTTTGCAATGAAGATTATTATCTTCCTGATATAAGAAGATTTCATGCCAGAGAGACAGAGAAATTTAGACTTGTTTCTTTTGCAGATTGATAAGGGTATGGAGAGAAGGTTTTCTTAATTATTTTTATGTGCCATTTTGACTGCCTTACATCAAGGAGAATAATGTTTAATGATCTTTAGAAGTAGAAATCAAAATTTAAATTCCTTAAAATACCCAATTTTGTTGTTGACAGACTTTATGCAGTGTCCTTGGTGAATATTATACTCCTGCTTTAAAATGTGAAGTAAATGCAGAAGATAGGGAGAATTCTGGTGATTACACTTCTGAAAATGAAGATTCAGAATTACAAGATTATAGATATGAAGTTCAAGGTAATAAAAGCTTACCATACTATTAAACAGTATTTAATCCTCTTAATTGATGACAGATCTTTACTTTTTATTATGATTTAATCACCCAGCCAAGTTGTTTATCATCTTAACATCTTATCCTCCTTTCACGTTCATGAAATCTTATATTTAATATACATTTAAAATTTTTGTAGTGCGATAATGGTGATATGAAGATAATTGGAGCTGTCCGCTATTGTCTATCCTCTCTCTCTCTACTCCTATCTTTTTCCTTATCCTAATTCTTTCTTTTAACTTTTTATACCATAGATCCAAATTTTTAAACGTTATTGTATTTATTGAATAAGTTCATATCAATGGTTTTTGCTTTAAAATGAGTAAGATTAACATTAAGAAATAAGAAATATATTAGTATCTTTCTTAATATAGATCTGCTATTAGTTTGTTTTAGCAAATAGTAACCTCACACTTTTTTGATGTTCTTTCACAGATAAAATGTTTCCTAGCCCTGTCCATTTGTATAGATAATGAACAAAATGTGTATAAATTAATGACTACCAAAAGAAATTAACATATTTTAATATGAAATTTTCAGGTTATCTTCGTAGCAGGCATTTCACATGAATGAAATTTCAATTTTTAGTTACTAAATATCTGAGGTTTACTTCTAGCAGGCAATTTTTTTAAGTTATAAATAGGTGAATAATATTTATTGGAAGATGCAGACTTTTACTGTGAAGTGAAATTATTATAATTGTTTACCATCCAGACTTTCAAGAAAATATGCACACTCTTCTCAACAAAGTAACAGAAGAATACAACAAACTCTTGGTACTTCAAACACGACTAAGCAAGGTCTGTGAAATGGAAAATGTATTGTAATATTTGCATTTATTGTATTACCTGCTTTTTTATAAGCTGCTTTTATCAACCAAGAATTTCTAAAATAAGAGAATGTGAAAAAGGAGATTGGGAAAAGCGATATATATTTGTAGTAGATAATTTATATTGGTAAGCTAAAAGAATTTCTGCAAGTCAAATAATAACCCCTTTAGAGAGTTTTTAAAGTTATGATAATTTAAAATATATATAATGTATCAACTGGTAAACTGTGTGAAACAATTGCATTTAATTTTACTTATAACATAAAGCAGTGGGCCTTCTGTTTTAGAGAAAATTGGTAATGAGTTTAGTTGCTTAGTACATAGCTAATTAGTTTCACACAGCATTATATATGTCAATTTTATGTTCAAGCAATTTTTAAAAACGTCTATAGAAAACTAGGTAAGATAGTTTTCTATCATGGCACAGTGTAATTTATTAACTCTATCAGAACAACGTAAGGCATATATTGGCAAGGATAAATGTAATTCTCATGTAGAAAGAAATCCAGAAAGATGTCTATGTGTATTTTTGGGGGGTGCTTTTTGATGTTCAGTTAATTATTAAAATGTTTAGGCAGATTTGAAAGATTTAATTGTTAGTGAAAGTTATAATGTTGATGAGTTATGTTTTGGCTGAAATTCTTCCTCTCCATCTCTCTGCCCTTCTTTCTTTCCCTCCTGTTTCTTCTTCCCCACTCTGTTTCTGTGCAATTAAGTACAACCTTATCTAGCCTTTCCAAAAATCTATAAACCTACTCCAGTAGATTTATATGAGTAGAATCTATTTTGGTTTCATCTCTTATTTTCTTGTTCATTATGGATTTATGCCTTTTAAATATTCTTTACTATCATTTTAATTGCGTAATCAAAAGGGAAGAAGTTTGCGTCACTAATCACAAATGTAAATGCCTACATTAATTTAGTTAATAAAATAAATGAAGAAGGCCAAGGCCAAGTGAAACCTGGAGAAAACATGCCTCATCCAAAAGGGGTGCAGCTGCCCAGCTTACGCATCTTGTTGCCATTAAGTAGGAATCAGGGCCCAGTGTTGCTAGTACTTTTAATCTATTAATTTTATATGGTTTTTTTTCTTTTAAAAATATTAGGAAATATAAACCGGGCATGGTGGCACATACCTGTCCTCCCTGCTACTTGAGAAGCTGAGGTGGGAGGATCACTTGAACCTAGGAGTTTGCGGCTGCATGAGCTATGATTGTGCCACTGCACTCCTGCCTGGGCAACAGAGCTTAAGACCTCATCTCTGAAAATATAACACACACACACACACACACACACACACAGAAATATTCAAAAATAAACGGATTCTATTTTAAGGTTGGGAAACAGAAAGCAGCCAGACAACAACAAAAACTGTTTTGTCCCCAAAAGAGCACTATAAAAGTATAGACTGGATTTAAAGTTCAAGCCTTCACTTTGTAACCTCAGATATAAACACATGCTCAGTGTACTATCTTGAACTAGTTTTCTTTTTACTTTAATCTATTATTTCTCGACTGTAGTATTTGCTGCTTTCTGATAATGTTTTCTTCCCTTAGCTTCTGTAGCTTTTCAAGCCTCCATTTTGGACTTTAGCTACCCTGTCTATTTTACCAGGGATCTTTATTTGATCCTCTTAATCTGAATGCTTTTTTCATCTCCTTTCATTGCTTCTAGATCTCTATGTTTAGGTCAGTCCTTCTGAGCTGCAGAGTCATATATCTCATCAGTTATCTCTACTCAAAACTCTTGTGGGTATGTTTCAATCAGCATATTGAAATATGAATTTATTAACTTCTGCTGCTTAAACCAGCTTCTCTCGTCTCAGTTTCAAGGAACAACATTCAACCAGAAACTTGGGAATTTGTCTTACATAATCTTCTCTTTTCACTCCTGGTCTTCTACCATACTGATATATACACTGAAGGGAGTATAAAGAATATGAAAGAAAAACTTATACTTTGTTCTCATTCAGTTATCCAGTCAATTTTTATTTTTATTTTTATTTTACTGTACTTTTTTTTTTTTTTTTTTCTCTGAGACAGAGTCTTGCTCTGTCTCGCAGGCTGGAGTACAGTGGCACGATCTCGGCTCACTGCAACCTCCGCCTCCCAGGTTCAAGCGATTCTCCTGCCTCAGCCTCCTGAGTAGCTGGAATTACAGGCAAGCTGCACCACACCCAGCTAATTTTTGTATTCTTAGTAGAGACGGGCTTTCACCATGTTGGCCAGGCTGGTTTCGAACTCTTAACCTCATGATCTGCCTGCCTTGGCCTCCCAAAGTGCTAAGATTACAGACGTGAGCCACCGCACCCAGCCTACTTACTTATGTATTTATTTATTTATTCCTTAGATCTGAGGACAGACTGGACAGCCAATATTTATTATTTGCTAATTAAATGCCAGGTTGTTCTATGTACTGGGAATAAAGTAATGAAGTCACCAGACTGAAGAAATGTATAAATTAATGGGATTTATGAACTAGTTTAAGGAATGTCATATACATATATACTATTTTACACATATATATATACACACACACACACATATACATAAAATAGTTTTCCATGGCAACATTCTAGTAGGTGTTTAGAAGAGAAATGTAAGGCCGAGCATGGTGGCTCATACCTGCAATCCCAGCACTTTAGGAGGCCAAGGTGGGCCAATCACCTGAGGTCAGGAGTTGGAGACCAGCCTGGCCAACATGGTGAAACCCCATCTCTACTAAAAAAGACACAAAAATAATTAGCTGGGTGTGGTGACATGTGCCTATAATCCCAGCTACTTGGGAGGCTGACACAGGAGAATCGCTTGAAACCAGAAGGTGGAGGTTGCAGTGAGCCAAGACTGCGCTGCTGCACTCCAGCCTGGGCAACAGAGTGAGACTCCATCTCAAAAAAAAAAAGAGAAAAGAAAAGAAATGTAAGTAAATACGTTTGCTTAACAGGTAGATGAATATAGCAAACAGGTAGATGTCTTTTCTGCACAAGGGGTAATAAGAAGATATCATATTTGAATTCTGTAAATTAGCTGCAATTAGAGAGGCATTTCAGAGTTACTTTGGGATCAGGATCAGCACTGCAATACATCACTGCCTAACTTTTTGGCTTCATCTTCTAATCTTCCTCCTCATTTCAGCCATACTGAAATACTTAGTTTCCCAAATGCACCCTGGGCTTTTTTGCATGCTGCCCTTTCTGCATAATACTGCCCATCCCCTCCCAGCCTTTTTGGTTTGTTCCCGCTTGTTCCAGTTGGTTCAAATGTTTACTCCCTCTGTGTCATCTGCTTTACCTATCTTCCTAGGCTTAGGCATTTATTCCTCTGTTTCCTTAGCAACAGTACAGGCCTTGCTTATCATGCTTCTCTTTTTTCGTTACTTTATTTTTTTTTATTTTTTATTTTTTTTGAGATGGAGTCTCCCTCTGTCGCCCAGGCCAGAGTGCAGTGGCGCGATCTAGGCTCACTGCAAGCTCCGCCTCCCAGGTTCACGCCATTCTCCTGCCTCAGCCTCCCCAGTAGCTGGGACTACAGGCGCCCACCACCATGCCCAGCTAATTTTTTTGTATTTTTAGTATAGACGGGGTTTCACCATGTTAGCCAGGATGGTCTTGATCTCCTGACCTCGTGATCCACCCGCCTTGGCCTCCCAAAGTGCTGGGATTACAGGCATGAGCCACCGCGCCTGGCCTTTTTTTGTTACTTTAAATACTTGATTACCCTTCTGTCCTTCCTCCATGTTCCTATAGCTTCTTATACGCATTTGCATTTGTATCACATTACTTTTCATATTATATAATTGTTTGTTTACCATTCTGCCTCTTTCACTATTATTCTAAACCCTTTGGAATCAGGGAATCTTCTGTTTATTTTTGTTTCCTCCTCTTATCACAGTGTTAGCATACAGTAAAGGCTTAATAAATGTTTGCTGAATGAGTTAGAAAGGTTGGACTAGAAACTTAATAATTTACCCGATGATCTTTATTTTCCCTGGGAACTAAGAGGTAAGATCTCTGTTGAAACGTACTCATGGGGTAGGAGTTGGTTAGAGGATTTATAAGAGTAGTGGACAGTTAAAACAGCCTTCTTGGCAAATAGCTTTTTTTCTTTTGCTCACCTGCTTCTACAGTATCCTTTGTTCATCTGGTCTTGCAAGTCCAAACTCTTTCCCCTTGCTTTTAAAGTCTTACGTAATTTGGATCTATCTTATTTAACTAGCTTTATTTCCCCCTCCGTATCCAAATTAAACTCTTCTCAAGAAGATCATTGTCAATTATGGCATATGTCATTCTTTCATAAATTTTCTTACTCTTTCTTCCTTAGAGCCTTCCCAAATCATTGCCAAAAATATATGAGCCTAAATCAAAATTGACTTCCATAATTATTCAGATCCACATCAGTCTTCTTTATCATTGTAGTTATAGTCAAATTTTATAGTTTAGCCGTTCTCTAATTGTTTATTTTCCCATCTGATTGATGAATTCCATGCAGGCAGATATATTGTTATTTTTTAAACGGATTTTATATTTTTACTATCTCTTGTCACAGTGCTGGTCACATTGATTATTAAGTATTTGATGAATGAATAAATTAGTACACACAGGTATCTGACATATTGCTGCTTAATTTTATTTGTTTATTTACTTATTTTTTTGAGGCAGAGTCTTGCTCTGTCTCCCATGCTAGAGTTCAATGACTCAATCTTGGCTCACTGCAACCTCCCCTTCCCAGGTTCAAGAAATTCACCTTCCTTAGCCTCCCAAGTAGCTGGGATTACAGGTTTGCGCCACCACACCTGGCTAATTTTTCAATTTTTAGTAAAGATGAAGTTCACTATGTTGACCAGGCTGGTCCTGAACTCCTGACCTCAGGTGATCCACCCACCTCGCTTTCCCAAAGTGCTTGGATTACAGGCTTGCTGCTTTTTAATAGTTAAGGAAATGAGCTGAGATTTATCTATTTTCATTCTTTTCTTTTCTTTTGTTTACTGTACAGAGCAGCATACCATTTGTCAGTTACCTGGTTGTACATAGGACATATCTAGAGATACATAAGCTGTATTAATCAAGTATTGGTAATATAAAATTTATTATGTACAAATTGAAATTTCAAAGACCAGGTTATACTATAAATATTGTTATCAGCTTTCTACCAAAATTCTCAGAAGCACTTGTTTTTGTAGTAAAATGAACTTCCTTTTAGATATCAAAGAACATTACTAACATAATTTCAGTGCTGTGAAAGGTATGGAATATGAATTACTGTTACAGAAGAGAACAGGGAATAACTTAGAAGGGAAAACACTTGTATTAGAGTGCCACAATTTTGGGTGGTTTTAAAAAAGCATCTTAATGCAGAGTTGCTTTAATACAGCTTTCTAATTGCTGGATTACGTATTTATGTTACTGCTTTTATTCTGTGGTTTTCAATAGATTTGGGGACAGCAAACAGATGGTATGAAACTTGAATTTGGAGAAGAAAACCTTCCAAAAGAGGAAACAAAGTTTTTATCAATCCATTCTCAGATGACCAGTTTGGAAGACAGTGGTAAATTTTGATCATATACCACAATGTGGTGTTTTTATACCAAGTATTGAGTAATTTGCTTTTTTACTTTAAAATTTGAGCTAACATAGTGACGTTGGGCATTTCACTGTAGCCTCTCTGATCTCAATGTTTTCATCCTTAAAATGAAAGATTTGGGTTACTTATCTATTTGGTCCTTTTTCACTTCTTATGTTCTGTAATAGTAAATTGTTTTAAATTTTAAAGATATAAAATGTTGGATTTAGGAGTACTGCAGCATGAGGATCAAAAAGATTATCTTGAATTGTACTATTTATATTTTCTTGTTTTCATCAGAATGAGTTTAAATTGAAACCAGAGTTATTACCACTTAAAACATACTCTTTCAAAAAAGAATATTTTCTGTACACAGTGATTGTGCTATTTCACTAAGAAACTTCTGTTGAAATGTGCATTTTTTGTCTCTTTATATAACATAGATGTCAATCATAAAAGCAAGTTATCTTCTCTACAACATCTTGAAAAAACTGAACAACTTGAAGAACAAGTTCAAGAATTAGAAAGCCTCATATCCTCTTTGCAGCAACAATTGAAAGAAACTGAACAAAGCTATGAGGCAGAGATCCACTATTTACGGAAGAGGCTTCAAGCTGTTAGTGAGTCCACAGTTCCGCCAAGGTATTCATCTGCTTATAGCTTCATTCAACAGTATTTGTAGCTTTGTAACAATTATAGTATCATCTAGAATGGCTATTTACAAAAAGTAACTTAAGCAAAGTTGCTGAAAAGAGATAGGATGCAGCATTTTTAAGAAAGAAGAGCAGGAGATCATTCTATATCTTTGAAATGCCTGAAATAAATGTTGATGTAAATCAAAGAGATTATAGGAATTCTACTTAAATTTTTACATTATAAAGATGTTGGAGGCCGGGCGCGGTGGCTCAAGCCTGTAATCCCAGCACTTTGGGAGGCCGAGGCGGGCGGATCACAAGGTCAGGAGATCGAGACCACAGTGAAACCCCGTCTCTACTAAAAATACAAAAAATTAGCCGGGCGCGGTGGCGGGCGCCTGTAGTCCCAGCTACTCAGGAGGCTGAGGCAGGAGAATGGCGGGAACCCGGGAGGCGGAGCTTGCAGTGAGCCGAGATCGCGCCACTGCACTCCAGCCTGGGCAACAGCGTGAGACTCCGTCTCAAAAAAAAAAAAAAAAAAAAAAAAAAAAGATGTTGGTTGTTGTTAATCTGCTTAATTAAATCGGCAGTGTGCATGTATTTGCAGTTTATTCTGTACCTAGTCTTTGGTACTTTGATATGGTGAATACTTAAGGAATATAAGATAGGATCATTCCAGTCATGGCAGGATTTCACTTTGTCTCATGTTCAAATTAACCACGTCCGAAGTAGAACTCTGGATCTTCTCAAAATTTGCTCCTTCTGCAGTTATATCCATCTGTCGTTACTCCTCTTTCTCTTATACCTCTTTTCTAGTCTATCAAGACATCCTGTTTTCTCTGCCTTCAAAAATATATCCAAACTGTACCACTCCTTAAAACCTTGCTGGTCTCTGCCATCCTTTTGTCTCACCTGGATTACCCTAACTCCTCCCTAAAGTCTGTTCTCAACACAGTTAGAGCAGGTGCCAGAATCTTGCTTTTAAAATTTAAAATAGATTATGTCATTCCAAAGCTCTTCTGTCCTACATGATGAGTACCCATTACTTTTCTGACTTTTAATCTCCTACTGACTTGTCTGTCACTGTCTTCTGACCCCAAGATGCTGTCACCAGTAACAAGCATTATCAGTATGCTTCTGCTTTAGGGACTTCTCATTGGCTGTTCCTTCTACCTAGAATGGTCTTCCTCCAGATATGTGCCTGGCCAACACCCTCACCTCCTTTGGATCATTACTCAAGTGTCATGTTCTCATGAGGCTTTTCTTAATCACTCTGTGTAAATTAAAATTGTCTCCTAGAACGCTGATTCCTATTTCCCTACTTTACTTTTTCTACATTACTTAATATTGTCCATTTATATATATGTATACATTATACACATTTTATATAGTATATATTACTTATATAACTAGGCTGGTTGTGGTGGCTCATGCCTGTAATCCCAGCATTTTGAGAGGCGGAGGCAGGCAGATTACCTGAGGTTAGGAGTTCGAGACTGGCCTGGCCAATATGGCAAAACTCCATCTCTACTAATAATACAAAAATTAGCCAAGCATGGTGGCATGCACCTGTAATCCCAGCTACTCAGGAGGCTAAGGCATAAGAATCACTTGAACCTAGGAAGCGGAGGTTGCGGTGAGCTGAATTCGCACCACTACACTCCAGCCTGGGTGACAGAGCAGAGCAAGACTCTGCCTGAAAAAAAAAAAATATATATATATATATATATAAACACCAAATATCTGTAAATTTGGAGGGGGTGGATTCATTTTTATTTTGTTTATTGTTCGTCTCTGGTCAAAGACTTTAAACTTTATAAGGGTGGGGCTCTTTTTCCATTTAGGTCAGTGATATGTCCCAAACACCTAAGATAATTCTCTGTGCATAATAGGTACTCAATAAGTTATTTTTTTAATGAATAAACAGTTTATAATTTAGTTGGGAAGTATGATATAATATATAACTAGCTCTATAAAACCCTCAGAGATTTATTCTAACTTTGGCTGGCTCTGCTATTCTAGCACTGTCTTCATAGGCACTTGCTAGTAAAACCTCAACACAGTTTTTTTGGATAGTGAATGAAAATTGAATGTCTACTTGTTTGGAACTAGTCGTTACTCTTCTGTATTTGGAACCTACATAGGGCTTTGGAATTGTTTGCTTGGTATTGGCTTAGCCTTATAAAGCTCCCATTTTCTTTGAGATTGGTGGTTTCTAAACATGACCGTACATCAGAAATAGTGGAAGTTTTTGAACTTTAATATAATTTTTTTAATACTTATAATGAAAGATCACTGAATTATAATTTGGAGAGTCATACTCAATAACTTTGAGATAGAATATGGAAATTTGTGTTTTTAACAATATAATTCAGAGGCATGGAACCCATAGATTGACATTTGGAAACCACTGCTTTCTGATATGAAACAAAATAGGTGATTAGGAAGAACTTTCTAATAACCAGTCAGTATTTCAAGTAATCTTCCTTTAATTAATGATGCTTTCTCTCCAAAGCATGAAGAAAAGAGAGGCTTCTGGAAACGTAGGCTTACATTGTTATTCCTGCATTTGGGCTTCTGCCAGCTCACCACCCTCTCTCAGAGTTTCTGTAATACTCCGTGGAAATGTGTTGACAATGCCTTTGAACCAAAACCATTCATTTGCTCCCTGCACCCCTACCAAAAAGAGTCTTACTCACCACCATCCTCATTCTTACTAATAGTAATGAGTCAAAATTTTTTTTTTGTAAATAGCATCACATATTTTGGACACAACTGTAACACATTTTGAATAGAGTATACTGTTCCCTGTGGGTAGACTTGAAATGGTTAAGAAAAATAATTGAGTCATTCTTTTAACAAATATTGGGTGTTTCATACTAGAAACCTCTAAGAGAAACACTCTGATGTTGGAAAGATCATGGGTTTTAGCCAGACAGATCTGCATTTAACCCTGATTTGACCTTTTACTGACTATATGATCTTGGACAGATTATTTAAACATCTCTAAATAATAATAGGGATAATAATAATTACCCTTAAGATTGTGAGGATTAAATGAAACAGTAACCGAAAAGAGCCTTAGCTAGATATCCTGGAGGTAGAATTAGATGTTTATGTAAAGTGGCTATTTCCTTCCAGGGACTTCAGTGTAATCACCGAAATAATAATTACTTGCAATAATTTTTGAAGGTAATGGTTGGGGAATATAACATAGTGATATAACTAAAACGCTGGAATTTAAACCCATCTCTTTGTGGCATTTTTTACTGCACATCTGTAATACTGCCTATTAGAGTAATAACAGCAAAATGGAAATGAAGGATGAGTATTAAGACATTGCAATGGAAGGAATGTTGGAAACAAAGCAGAGGGGAAAAAACAAAGATAACTCTGTGTTGCTTGAGCCTAGGGAATATGGAAAATGAAAGTACATCACATAAATAGGAAATTCAACAGGGGTTGCAGATAGTAGGAGCTTAATTGCAAGAGGGGAGCAGTGAATTAAGTTTATGCCGGACTATTTTTTCAGTTTGGAGTAAACACTTTCAAATACTGTAATGCTTAAAGAATGAAGTCATTGTGGACTAAGTAGTACTTTTTGGAGTTTAGATCATAGTGGCTGGATAGATAATCAGGAGGATTTTCTAGGCTGTGAAAATAAGATCCAAGACATAAAGCCAAGAATCAGAGGAGTATATACAAGGGACAGTGAGGAAAACAGAGACAAAATAGCAATAAAGAAGAAGCAGGAAAGGGCAGAGAAGAAAGACAAGAAGAACAAGTTTTTAGAAGCATGGGATGGTCATAGAACATGAGAAGGTAGTTCACAGCAGGAAAAACCTAAATGGCCAATAATGTTTGAAAGAAAATATCTTCTCAAAAATAAAGACATACATGTTCTAGCAAAGTTTTACAATTGTTATGACCCCCGATTGCTGAAGTTTTGAGAAAATACTTAAATGATACAATTATGATAATAAAATTAATAAAACTTTTTGGAATATAGCCCTGAATTAAAACATGAACTATTAAGCTTAACAATTACTTACAAGATTTTATCATATAGAAACATCCATGGAAGTGTGCCAAGATACATTTGTGAAGATCTGTATTATAGCATTGTTTGTAATGGTGAACAATTGGAAGCAATCAAATGGCCATCATTAGGGGTTTAGTTATATAAGTTATGAAATGGGATGATGACAACTTTTATCTGCCCAGTTTTGGACGGAATTTAGGATAGAAAAGAATACGAGAAAGAAAGGTATGTGGACAAGAGGAGGGTCGAACTAAGAAAGCAACATAGTTGTACATGAAAATGGGTGTGGAAGATTGTATTTGCCAGAAATGAAAATTATAATTTCCTCCTTTTATTTTTTTCCCATGGTTCCTAAATACTGATCTTAGTTTTTATGACCTAAGTTAAGCATTTTAAGAAAAAAAAATTTTTTAAATAATGAATGCATGTAAAAACTACACAATACAGATGTGAATACCAAAAAATTAAACAAAAAAGTCCAAAAGTGAGTATTTGTAAATTAAGATTCTTCTCTGTACCACCACTGCTCCTGAGTTCCACTAGAGGTAAACGTTGTTACTTTTGATGTGGACACATAGGAAAAAAATCAAACTTTGTGTATCCAAATATACATATGTATGTTAAAAGAAGTTTCTCATAAAAGTGAGATTTTACAAACTTTTTAAAAGTCACTAATATATCTTAGATAACTTTTAAAAAAAAGTTAATACTGGCCAAGCATAGTGGCTCATGCCTCTAATCCCAGCACATTTGGAGGCTGAGGTGGGAGGATCACTTGAGGCCAGGAGTTTGAGATCAACCTGTGTAATATAGTGAGTCCCCATCTCTCCAAAAAAAAGTCAGTATGTATAGTTCCATATCATACATTTGTAGTGTAAGATGACATAAAATTCAGTTGATCATCTGTTAAAATACTGTTACTCAATTGTGTTCTTTTAAGTGGAAATATTAGTCAAAAATATGATTTAAGTTACAATACCTACAACCCTTGACTCATTTTTGTCTCCCATACCCCGGTACACATTTTATGTGTGTTATAGATTTTGGATGAACACTAAAGCACATATACAACTCTAATTCTTTAACCTTTTTTATTTATATTCAGCTTCCCCGTTGATTCGGTGGTAATTACAGAATCTGATGCACAGAGAACAATGTACCCTGGAAGTTGTGTGAAAAAGAATATTGATGGTACAATAGAGGTATTATATTTTTAATTTTTATCTTTTAACTGTTATATACACTGATTTTTCTACTATCATTTTTATGTCTGGTTTACTGTAGTTGCTGAGAAGTAAGCATAATAAATATGAGGATAATACCTTATATAGAAAACTCAGAATACATATGTAAAGAAATTTAGCCGGGCGCGGTGGCTCAAGCCTGTAATCCCAGCACTTTGGGAGGCCGAGACGGGTGGATCACGAGGTCAGGAGATCGAGACCATCCTGGCTAACACGGTGAAACCCCGTCTCTACTAAAAAATACAAAAATACTAGCCGGGCGAGGTGGCGGGCGCCTGTAGTCCCAGCTACTTGGGAGGCTGAGGCAGGAGAATGGCGTGAACCCGGGAGGCAGAGCTTGCAGTGAGCTGAGATCTGGCCACTGCACTCCAGCCTGGGCGACAGAGCGAGACTCCGTCTCAAAAAAAAAAAAAAAAAAAAAGAAATTTAATCTATTTTTATAGCATAGGAAAAACACAGAGGAAGTTTGAGGGGTTATATTTCCTTAAATATGTTATAGTTTAAGATTTATCTTGTTTTTTGTAACATGTGGGCTATGTACAAATTAGTTTCAGTGCCCTGGTCAACATAGCTTTGTCTTTCCAGCATGGGAATTTGGACCAGGCCATCTCTAGAAAAGTGCTTAGGGGCCAGGCGCGATGACTCACGCCTGTAATTCCAGCACTTTGGGAGGCCAAGGCATGTGGATCACAAGGTCAAGAGATCAAGACCAGCCTGGCTAACACAGTGAAACCCCATCTCTACCAAAAATACAAAAAATTAGCTGGGCGTGGTAGCACTTGCCTGTAGTCCCAGTCGCTCAGGAGGCTGAGACAGGAGAATCGCTTGAACCCAGGAGGTGGAGGTTGCAGTGAGCTGAGATTGCGCCCCTGCACTCCAGCCTGGGTGACAGAACGAGACTCCCCCATCACAAAAAAAAAAAAAAGAAAAAAGTGTTTAGGAATCCCCAGAATCCAAGACAGTAGGGCTGGGATAATAGATTAGGCCTACTCCAGTAAGGTCCATTCGGTATATAAAAGTTCCACATCTTTTACAGCGCATGCCATCTAACTAAACCACCCCCTGCCTCTGCTCAGCATTGTATTATTCTCAATTTCTCACACCTGCGACTTTCTCAAACCTGCAACTGCTGAACCCTGGTTTTCACTCAGATTTTTAGCTCTTAAGTCACAGAAAAAATTAAGATCATCATTCTTCCTGGCTCAGTATACAGAGGAAAGATGTTAGACATTTCCTTGATTCTGCTATACTCATCCCATATCATGATAATTGCTAAATAAATACTTTCATACTGAGAACATGTTTATATTTTTTTAAAGTTTATAGTTTTTTCTATTGATAACTGTAACTTTGTATTTGTAGAAAATTAGATAGTATTAATAAGTACCAAGAAGAAAAGAAAATTTGCTTGTAATTTTATGAGCAAACAATGCCACTGTTTAACATTTTACTTAAAAGGAAATATATACACACATATATATTGTATTAGTTATATTTAAGTATCCTTTTCCCACTCTAGAACTGTATGTTGGCATTTATAAATATGTAAACATATTCCTCTTTGCATCTTTGATTGTTAAGTTCACAGTAGTAAGTATAATTATTTACTAGAATTATTTACTAAAATTGTTTTTAATTGAGAGAATTAAAATTGATTTTTTGCTGAAAGTGTGTAGAACTTTTCTAAAAATACTGATACTTTGGGGAGATTTTGAGGTAGAAGTTTAAAAATAAGTGGTGTATAATTAATGTAAATAAATGTCATGTTTTGCTTTTAAATATAGTTTTCTGGTGAATTTGGAGTGAAAGAGGAAACAAATATCGTTAAGTTGCTTGAAAAACAATACCAAGAACAATTAGAAGAAGAAGTAGCTAAGGTAAGCTTATAGCTTATCTGGAAGATTATCTTAGTTTATATTCCCTTTGAGCCTTCAAAAATAGCATGGATTTTATTGATGGTATGTACTTTATTTTTATAAGTTTCATATATAGTTCATCTTTAAGTGTTTGGATAATGATATCAATTATAGTTGCCTTTAAACAAAATATCTTGTGAACTTTTATTTGAGAAGAGCATTCTTTGATGTAGACTAGTAATTAGAAGCTTTTCAGAATGCCAAAACAAGTCTATATATTTGTTGCCTTGTGAAGGAGTTTGGTCTTCCTTAAAAGTTGGGAAGAAGATAGGAAAAGAAAGAGAAAGTGGTTGGTCCTCTGTGTATATTATCTGTATCTATTTCCAATCAGAAAAGCTTTGTTAGGTAATGACTACAGATACTAAGGGAGGATTATCAGTGAGTATTAATTAGCTCCTGGCTAAGTGAAGGAGTTTATCAATGTGAATTTTGCTCATCTCTGTATGCTTATCTGCTGTGTCCAGAGTCGTTCTTTAATATTAGCCATATAACCTAGTGTAACGTTATGGTTCTATTTGTTTTGTCTTTGTATTCCTTTTCAAAATGTGTATACCTGGTTGGCTTTTAATATTGGAACTGGCCGGGTGCAGTGGCTCATGCCTGTAATCCCACCACTTTGGGAGGCCAAGGTGGGCAGATCACCTGAGGTCGGGAGTTTGAGACCAGCCTGACCAAAATGGAGAAACCCCAGCTCTACTAAAAATACAAAATTAGCCAGGTGTGGTGGCTCATGTCTGTAATCCCAGCCATTCAGGAGGCTGAGGCAGGAGAATCACTTGAACCTGGAAGGCAGAGGTTGTGGTGAGCTGAGGTCATGCCATTGCACTCCAGCCTGGCCAACAAGAGCGAAATTCCATCTAAAAAAAAAATATATATATATACACACACACACACACACACACACACACACACACATACAGGAACTATTGAATTATGAGTTTGCTTTTTTTTTTAATAATATTTCAACTGTCTTAATATAACAATCCCAGTGGAATATGTGGATTTTAAAGGGGTGGGATTGATTGGTAGGATATAAAGGAAATATATAAGGAATTAGGAAAAACATAAATTAGATGAGGAAGTCAAGACCCAAGGAAATATCTGGGCCATAAGGACTTGTTCACTTATGACTAAAGCGAAAAGTGAAACACTATCTTTTTTTTTATAGCTTTCAATGTCTAGTTCTTGGAGGAATGCAAGTTTTCTCTTGCATGTAGCTCTTATACAAATTTATCAAATGGAATGGTATAGTAATTAATGTGAGGTTTGGTATTGGATATACCATATTTTAAATTCTTGTTCTTTTGGTTTACTAGATTTGTGACCTTAGGAAAGTTACTTGTGAATCTCAGCGTTTTATATGTTGAAAGAGGAAACTGATATAGTAGTAATTTTTATAAGGATTCAATGAGCTAATGCCTACAGAGCAGTTAGCAAATGAGTTGATACATAGTAAAGACTCATAAATACTATCTTAAAAGTAGTCTTATTACTGTGATAATGGTGGTAATATGAAGATGTTTTATAAAGCATTACTCACTCAAGCTGATAGCAAAGCACTAAAGTACCGGTCAGTGAAGACTCTTCTAAATGCAGCCAAGATACTGTGATCCAAGAGACTACATTTGATGGCCCAGCTTGGTCCTAGAATAATACAGATTGTCGACATTAGTCACCAGTACCGATGGGATTATTCTGTACTCTGTACCCCTCAGATATGGTAGAAGAAGGTTGAAGACCATTTTTCTTTTTTCTTTTCTTTTTTTTTTTTTTTTTGAGACAGGGTCTGGCTCTGTCGCCCAGGCTGGAGTGCAGTGGCGCAATCTCTGCTCACTGCAATCTCCAACTCCTGGGCTCAAGCCATCCTCCCACCTAAGCCTCCCAAGTAGCTGGTACTACAGGTGTGCACCACCACCCCAACTAATTTTTTTGTATTTTTTTTGTGGAGATAGGGTTTTGCCATGTTAGCCAAGCTGGTCTTGAACTCCTGATCTCAAGCAGTCTACTCGTCTTGGCCTACCAAAGTGCTGGAATGGCAGGCGTGAGCCACCATGCCTGGCTGAGAATCATTTTTCTAAAAGCACAAGGCTATATAGAAGAAGCCCAGTAAGAGTAGTGATTCCCAGTATATATCACACTAGAGTCCTCCTGTGATTTGAGCACATACTACTGAAATTAGACATTCATTTACATTTCACTGTTAGGCAGTGTTCTGGGTGCTGAGGTATGACAGAGAATAAAAGAGGATGAAATCTTTACTTCCATAGACCTTACATTCTAGTTGGTACAGATAGACAACATACAGACGATGGTAAGTACTATAAAGAAAAAAAAAAAAACGGGACTAGGAAAATCCATGGGGAGTGAGATGGTGTTATTTTATATAGGGTTGTCATGGAAGGCCTGACTTTATGAAGTGACATTAGAGGAAAATCCTAAAGGAAGTGAGGGAGTGAATCAGGAAGATATCAGGTTGAGGACCTTTTAAAGAAATATGAAAGGGAAAGTCAAGAGAGACAAGACAAAAAGAAAGGTCAAAAATTACTCTAACAGGTGTCTTTAAGATGTGGTCAGGAGACTTGACTAGAGTTTGTGAAGGTTGCTTGCCGAGCTGCTACCTCTGCTGAGTTGGAGGACAATTCAGTTTAATCCTGCAACTCCCACATTCATGGTGAAATACTGTGAAATCTTGGCACAGATTTGTCTTTTCTGCAGATGTACAGGAGGAGAATTTTCCTTTTCCTGCATACGGGAGGAAGAAATACAGGGAAAGAGGGCAAGGGCTCACACTTAAGGGGAATATATTACTCTAGGTTATTTGACCTGAGCAACTTGAAGAATGGAGTTGGTATTTGCTTAGAGTTCTTTAGTAGGATGGAAAAGACTGCAAAGGAGTAGTTTTGAAGAGGAAGGAGACTCAGAATTCAGCTTTTGACTCATTAAATGCAAAAATATTTACTAAATGTCCAAATATAAATGTTGAGGAACAGCCAAGGAAATGTTGAGTAAAGCAGTGTTTGGGATATATAAATCTAGATTTTAGGAAATAAGATAAGAAATATAAATTTGGGAGTTAGCATATAGTGCAAGGTTTTTTTTTTTTTTTGAGACGAAGTCTCGCTATGCCGCCCAGGCTGGAGTGCCGTGGCCGGATCTCAGCTCACTGCAAGCTCTGCCTCCCGGGTTTACGCCATTCTCCTGCCTCAGCCTCCCGAGTAGCTGGGACTACAGGCGCCCGCCACCTCGCCCGGCTAGTTTTTTTTGTATTTTTTAGTAGAGACGGGGTTTCACCGTGTTAGCCAGGATGGTCTTGATCTCCTGACCTCATGATCCGCCCGTCTCGGCCTCCCAAAGTGCTGGGATTACAGGCTTGAGCCACCGCGCCAGGCCTAGTGCAATGTTTTTTAAACTGTGAGTTGTAACTCATTTTTAAGGCATGAAATCCATTTAGGGGGTTGGGAGTAGGATTTTAATGTTAATGGAAAGTTTTAATTATATAGACACATATGTACCTGTGTATGCTTTGGGTCATAATATAACATGTGGTTTTGTTGTTTTATGTTGTTTTATGTGTGTGTATGTTTGCCATGGATTGCAGTGAAAAAAATTGAAAAACTAATATAGGGAATAAGTGTAGATAGAGAAGATATCTGGGAACGGACCTGAAGCATGTCAATGTTTAGAGACCAGATAAATAAGGAAAAACAAAGGAGATGGAGAAGGAGCAGTAAGTTAGATATGGGAAGAACAAAAGAATGGGCATGGCAGAAACCAAGTAAAACTATTATCAAGCAGAGAATGTATTAAACTGTATCAGATGTTCCTAATAGGTCAAGAAAGATTATTACTGCAAATTAATCATTTGATTTTACAAGATGAAATCATTGGTGACTTTCACGAGAACACATTTGATGGCATGGTGTAGACAAACTGATTAGACTGGGTTTGAGAGAGAATGAAGGAGAAGAATGAGGAGATGAACTATATTGAGGAGTTTTACTTAAAAGGGGAGCAGAGAAATAGAGTGGTAAAGAGTGATGTAGGGGGTCAAGTGGTGAGTTTTTCTTGTTGCTGTTTTGTTTTTATTTAAGATAATAGGTATTACATCTACTTTTGTGCTCATGGAAATGATTGAAGAGAGAGGGAGGGAAATAGCTAATTTAGGATACAGAGGAGCAGTTGCTGGAGTAGTGTTCTTGATTAGAAGATCATACCCTGGATGGTTGCCATTAGATAGGAGCATGGCAGTTTATAATAACAGGAAGGAAGGCAAAGAATATTTGGTTTGTTATTCGGATATCTTTTGAGATGTAGTATTCAGAGCCTATGAAAGTTCTCTTCTAGTAATTGCTTACATTTTCTCACTAAAACAAGAAGCAAGGTCAACACCTGAGAGAGACAAAGAAAGAGAAGATGTTGGAAGTTTAAGAGAAGGGAAAAGTTCTGTCTAGGGGAAGGAATCAGAAATGGAGTAAACTAGGGAAGTTGAGTTAAATTGCCTGATTCTACCAAGGGCCCATTTTAAAGGTAGTGGTTATGAATTTAAAATGAGACCAATCAGGTTGGTTGGATTTTTTAGACAGTATAGCGAAGGGAAAGGAAAGAGTAACAGGGTAGTTAAGTCTGTTTTTTTTAAGTTTCCAAACCAGAATCCTGTTTTTTTTTTTTTTTTTGAGACAGAGTCTCACACTGTCACCCAGGCTGTAGTGCAATGGCGTGATCTCTGCTCACTGCAACCTCTCCCTCCCAGGTTTATGTGATTCTCTTTCCTCAGCCTCCCAAGTAGCTGGGATTATAGGCACACACCACCACACCTGGCTAAGTTTTGTATTTTCAGTAGAGATGGGGTTTCACTATGTTGGCCAGACTGGTCTTGAACTCCTGACCTCAAGATCCACCTGCCTTGGCCTCCCAAAGTGCTTGGATTACAGGTGTGAGCCACTGCACCCGGCCCCAAACCA